GATGTATCAGTGTTGACCATCTATCAATTGCTAATCTTTTATTCATTGTTCATGGTTGGTTTAGTGTATTTCTACTGGGCTGTGGCTCACCCTATATGGGAACATCATTTTCAGGTACAGGTAGCATGCCACCTCCAAGGACATAGCTTGGGAGGCTAGATGCGAGCTGATTTTTGCTGTTTAGTTTCTTTTGATGTATTACATGTATATTCAAGCCAAGGGCTTAATGTGTGGATGAGTTAGCATCCTTTTGTTGTAACCAAGTGTTAACTTGGAAAGCTGTAAGCCCGTAGGGTATTTTGCTTTTGTTGTTAACATGTAATACTATTGTATTGAAACTCTGATTAATAGAAGAATGTAGATATTTTGCCTGTCAAGGAATGTCTCAATTGAGGGTTTAATGTTATTATTTTGAGGGTGTTACAATAAACCTTCAGATAAATCTCTTATTAATCTTCCCAGTAATAGAAAACGGTTAAGTTTGACCACTCAGGATCATACCACTGTTGATGCAATTGAGAAAATATTTAGTAAAATATCTATATCTACTGGTAAAGAGACATCTACATCTAACACTAAAGGAATTACTGTCTTAACACAACAACCTCCATTAGAATTTCCTATTCAGTCTGATACATCTAGTGATAATGAGATTAATCATCTAGCACAACAATTTCAACCTTTTCATCTTAATAAAATCACACATCCTAAAGTTAATCCTACTACTCTTACAAAAAATTGGTACACTAAACATACACCTCCTGATCTCCAATTTGAATAAACAAATATTAGTAATCAATTTTCCGTTTCGGCTAAAAAATTATATGAATGGAATATTGACGGTCTTCGTGAACACGAAATACTTCTAAAACTCAATCATCTATCTATGGTTTCAAATAGTTATCTTAATAATTATCCTGATTATACTCAATCAGAAATAGTTATCTTAATCACTACTGGATTTACTGGTACCCTTAAATCTTGGTGGGACAAATGTCTTACTTCTAATCAACGAGAATCTATCCAATATGCTGTTCAAATGAATGATGAAGGATTTCTAATCTTTGATGAAGAAATAGGTTCCACTTATATATACCATAGTCAAACATTTTATTGGCACACCTACTAATATTCATTCTCGTATTCATGATCGATTAAGCAATTTAACATGTCCAACTTTAAGTGATTTTAGATGGTACAAAGATGTTTTCACTTCTAGAGTAATGCTTAGAGATGATTGCACCAAGTCATTTTGGAAAGAAAAATTTATTAATGGATTACCCAATCTCTTTGCCCATAAGATTAGAGATGTTCTTAGTCAACCTACTGGTATTATCGAATATGATAACTTAACATATGGTGATATTATTAGTACAATTCAAAAAGAAGGTTTAAAAATGTATATTGATTTGAAACTTAGTCAAAAAGCTGCTAAGGATAACATAAAGCTAAATATGAATTAGGT